TTATTTTGATATATCACAGTGAAAGATTTATCGTCCTCTTTTTTTTTTTTTTTTTTTTTTTTTTTTTAAAAAAAAAAAAAAAAAAAAAAAAAAAAAAAAAAAAAAAAACCACCAAAATTCCTATATCAGGAATGTAGGTAACAGTAGAAAGAAGTTAAACTGCACATGAAAAGGCTGGGTTCTGCTCAAGTTGCCAGTGTGGCCCTGAGCCAACCCCACACCAGTATCCCAAGGCCCCTACCAACAATAAGACTGTGATGTTGTATGTGCTACATCTCTGGTGCAAGAATTCCAGTACTGGCCACCCTGATCTTTTGATTGCTTGATTTGCTTGCTTGTTTATTTATTTTAGAAACAGGCTCTTGCCATGCTGCCCAGGCTAGCCTCAACTCCTGGCCTCCAGCTATTCTCTTGCCTCAAGTGTCCAAGTAGCTGGGTCTCCAGCTCCATGCTACAGTGCATGGCCTCACCCCAATCTCCTGACTGTCCTATTACCTGTGTTCTTTTATTTCCTTAGGTCCAAACAATCATACTGAGAGATGCCCGCCAGTTCCCAATAACAAGAAGCTTTGAGGTATCCATCTGCACTCTCCTCCATTTTTAGCCTCCATTACCTTCACTGCTTCCCAGCTGAAGGGAGCAAAAGATGCCTTGGAAGTGAAATCAATGACTGATGGGCCAGCTAAGATTTCCCAGGCAACAACACGAGCCTAGATTCTCTCCCTGCTAAACTGGACTGGACTAACTGCTCTGCCTTTAACATCCTGTTTCTTTCAAGATGGCTCTAGCAGTGCCAGAACCCTTATCCTTCCCTTGAGGAAAGAGCTCAGTATAACAGGTTGAGTGCCTCCACGAGTAAATTAAATATTAAACACACCAAGCCAGAGCCTCTGGTGCAGCAGCACAATCTGAGAACATAGACAATGCACATGGCTTGGCTGTTACTCTTCCAGTGGCTGAGGGCTGGGCTTCCCTAATCCCAGCCCACATTCTTACCTTTAAGAAATGAGAAATGACAATGTTTTGTTCTTCCCCAAAAGCTCATGATTCCCCATGTCCTTCCCCCAACCCCCAGTAGTGAAGGCTCTAGGAATCTGTAGCATTGAAATTTAACAGGGGTCTGGAGATGTAGCTCAGTTGATAGAGTATTTGCCTAACATGGACAAAGCTCTGGGGTTGAACCCCCAACACTGTATAAACCAGTCATGATAGTATACGCCTGTCAGACTAGCACTCAGGAGATGGAGGCAGGAGGGTAACAAGGACAAGGTTATCTTCAGCTACGTGGCCAGTTCTAGGCCAGCCTGAGATGCACAAGATTCTGTCTAAAAAATAATGAAGATGAAGAAGAAATTTAACAGGTCTATGATTGGCTTAGCAGCTTAGCTCCACTTAGGTCTAGAGGTTCCCGAGGGACAGCTCAGGAAGCTGCTGATGCCCTGACATCTCAGGGCAATGGAGAACTGGATATAACTGAGAAGGGGCCTGATTGTGTAGGCCATTGGCTTTTTCCCTCAGGCTAATACAGGTCACGGTAGAGCCTCACCATTCTCCTCAGCTAACTTATTTTATAAAAAGGGAAACTGAAGCATGAGGAAAGGGAGAGAAACATGGCAGCTTATTCAACGAGCTGTAGTCCAGAGAGGCCTAGACTCTAAATCTCTAGAATAGAGCCCAGTGCTCTTTCCATTCTGCGTCTTGCATGAAAACCCAAATCTCCAAGGAATGACACCAAGGAATAGGCCTGGCACTGCACCACCCAGTAGGCCATTTTCATAGGAAGCAGGATTTACTCATGGACCAGCTTGCCACTGAAGAACTAAAAGCATGACGTCTTTGAGTTGCAGTTCAGCTCTGCTACTTTGTACAATGGAATCTTGGTACTGTCATTTTTCTGAGCCTTAGTTCTTTGCCTGTAAGATGAGGATTTAAAAACCACTATGTGGAATGGTTACTGAAAGATCAGATAAGATGATACAAGTGTAGTATTTTGTAAACTGTGAAGTGCTATCTGAATGTCAGATACTATTAATATGATGTGAGGTCTGAAGATGCTGCAGAGACAGAAAGAATCAGGGGAGGAGACTGTGCAGGAGTGAAGACCCACCTCACAAAAGAGAGTCCTGCCTGGCCTTCTCACAGACCTAGCTGATCCACCTGCAAAGATGGACAGTGGCAGGTCAGACCATCCCAAGTCCACTGACCCAACACCACCTGCCCACTTTGCTTGGTGTGTGTGCATGCATGTAAGAAAGCCTGGCTACCCAAGTATCACAGTGATTTGCTTGACTGGAGGAACACTCCAGACCAACTCACAGACCCTCAAAGGAGAGCCTACCAGCCAAGACCCTTTCAGGGATCTTTCTTGTGCTGGAGCGCCTCTGGGGTCCTTACCTTGTACTTGGCAGCAAGCAACTCTGTGGCCTGCTGTTCCCGCCGCAGATCCTCCAGCATCTTCTCCTTTTCCTCCAGAAGTTTCTGTTTCTCCTCGCTCACTAGGCTGCGGTTATCCTGGATAGCGGCCTTCTCCTCCTCCAGCCGCTCCTTCTGTTCCTGCAGGTAATTCTCCATGTTCTTCTCCAAGGCTGATTCCAGGATAGGTTGGGGTGGGCGGTGATTGTTATTGTTGTCATCTTCCTCTTCAGCCACCCAGGCCTCGATCACAGGCCCCTCTGGGTACCCTGCTGGGGCTGACACAGCCTTCTTCCTGCGGCTGCTCTTCCTCCGCTTCCCTAGCATCCCCTTCTTCTCCAGCTGGGCCTTCAGGCGGGCTATCTCCTCCTGGAATTCCCTAAGCAGGGTGTCCTTGGGGTCCTCATTCACCCGGGGTTTGTTCTTGATGTTCTTGGCTCTGTTTGCAAACCGTAGTGTGGAGAGGCTCTCATCATAGCTATGAGAAGCTGGCCCCAATGTGGCCACCATGATGGTTTTGGCATTGCCCCCTAGTGAATCCTGGAGCAGCCTGGTCAGTTTGGAGTCCCGATATGGAATGTGAGTGCTCCTGTTGCCAGCCAGAGCAGCAATCACATTGCCCAGGGCAGACAGTGAAAGGTTGATTTTAGAGGCTTCCTTAGGCCTCTCTCCACTGCTGCCACCACCACCACCACTGCCACCTCCACTGCCACCACCAGCTGTGGACTGTGTGGCTGGCCCTCCAGGTGTGTTGGGGCCTGTCTTGTTCTGCCGCTCACTGCCAGCCAGGTCTACTAGGTTGAGCTTGCCTACTCGGATATGGTCCTGGCCATCTGAGCCACGCTCACTGCACTCCACAGTAATGACGAAGATGGCATGGGAGCGGGAGCTGACCTCATTCATGTGGGTGCTGCCCACAGCCCGGGTCTGGTTCCCCAGGTTCATCACATGCTCGATCTCCTTGACATTCTTGGTGACAAAGGAGGAGAGGTCCTTGATGTAGACGCCTGTCTCGGGATTCTCCTTCAGCTCAAGCCTCTTGCCTGGCTCCTTGGAGAGCAGGTCTCGAATCTCCTCCTGATAGATCTCTAAGTAGGAGGCCCGAACCAGATACTGCTGGTTCTGGGAGCGGGAGATGTGTGTGAAGATGTGCTCAAAGGCGTTGGGGATGACCCCGCGGAGCTCCGGCTCCACCCAGGTCCCCTGCATGGTGTAGGTCTTGCCAGTGCCTGTCTGTCCATAGGCAAACACGGTGCCATTGAAACCCTGAAGCACTGAGTCTATCAGGGGCCTCACGGTTTCATCATACAAGTCTGCCTGCTTGGAGCTGGCATCATACACAGCATCAAAAGTAAAGGTCTTGGGCAGCTCCCCAGGTGCCGCGCGGGGGTTCCGCAGAGTCACCTGGCCCAGTTTCACGTCCATGGTCAGAATCTGCTCATGACCAGCAGCCTCTTCCTTCCTACTGAGGGGGCGGCACCGGGCCACCACCTTCAGGGCCTCGCTGGCCTTGGTCTTACTGGCCATCTTGCTGCACTGTCCTTCCCGGTTGGTCCTCCGGTCCTAGTCCTAGGTCCGGATCAGCAAGGCCCGCCCAGCCCCCAGGCGCTGCTCTTCAATCCGCATGCAGCCTCCTAGGGTGGGGATGCTGGGAGGTGGCCCCGAGGCTGCTGCAGTCCCGGCCTCCACAGCTCTCAGGTCCTCCGTGCACCGGCTGGGGAGGTAGAATTAGGCAGAATCCCCAGGCAACTGCACTAGCAGCGTCTGCCGAAGGGCAGTGCCCAGAGCCCGCCCCATGCTGGGGCAAGAGGGAGCGCTGCTGTAAACAGCTTCGGCAACAATGAGATAAAGGAAGAGGAAAATGAGATGGGGGTGGGCGGCAGAGCTGTCTTCTCCTCCCCCTTCTCGTCTTCCTCTAGGGATCCATGGCGGGGGCTGCGAGTCCTGGGCGGCCGGGGGGTCCCGGTCCTTCGGAGGGCAGAGGCTCACCTGGAGTCCTCCCTCCCAGCTGGGGGATCATTCATTGCAGGCAGCGCCGGCTGCTGCAGCCTCTCCTCCGCCTTCCCTGTCGCCGCCACCGGAGAATGAGAGAAAAACAGAAGGGGATGGGGCGGAGCAGCGGCGGCGAGAGTGCTGTTGCGGCCGCCGCTGCGCAGCGGCCGGGGCTAGGTCCCCCGGCTGGGGTGGGGCAAGGGGCGGGGCCGCGGGATGGGAGACGCTAGCCGCGCGCGGCCGGTAGGCGAGGGACAGGGGTGCATCGCCGTCTGCACCCCGCCGACCCCTCAGGGATGACAGGCTCGGGTGCCCACTCAGGTCCTGTGCCCACCAGTCGGATGCAGCGAAGCCACCGCCCGCCGTCACCCCACTGAGCCTGAGCATGATGGGAGATGTAGTCCTGCCTTTGTTAACCCAGTTCTGGCAGGTTTCTAATGCCTTCTCCAGTCTTCCAAACCAGAGCCCCTCCCTCTACCGCATGCAACCCTCAAGGGTGTTTGCTGAGGTTGCACCACCCACGCCTGTACTCTCTGCAGCCAGCATCCTCGGTCTCCCGTTGCTCCTGCCTTTTTCCTGCAGATGGGAACATGTCATGGGCCTCCCTTCAGGGTGTCACCAGGCCTGGAGCTTAACTCCTAAATATTAACTGAGCTCTGTCCTTTCCTCTCCCTACCTTGGTTTATTCCTGGCCTTCCTTTTCACGCTGCTGGAAGCACAACTCAACTGATTTCCAGCTCTCTGAGTGCCTGCACATGGGCCCTGGCTTTGTCCACTCCCCCTATGGCCTTCTCTGACCTCCCAGCCTCACCTCTACTACTCTGATCCAGTCTATATTCCTGACAGTCACACTGTCACACTCTTCTAGTGCCTGCTGAGTGCCAGGCCCATTCTAGGAGCTGGAGCCTTCTCATGAATTCTATAATAGACAATGTTTGCCTTTCTTAACTGACTTTGCTATGTTGCATCTTTGTGCCTTTGTCCAGGTATCTTGTCACTTTCTGTACCTATTGTCCTATCACTTGGGCAGTACAAGCACCTCCTCTTCCAGGAAGCCTTTCCTGGTTGATTTGTTTTCATTAGCAGATAGAAGGATTGGAATTTACATAATATCTAGGACTAGAGTTTCAGTTCATGTGTGTGGTGTATGTGTTTGTGTGGGCATGTGGTCCATCTCATTTTTTGAGACAGGGTCTCACTGAATGTGGAATTCACTGAATGACTAGACTGACTGACTAGTGACCTCCAAGGATTATCCTGTCTCTGCCTCGGCAGCCCAGAGATTACTGGATGTTCAAACAGATCCTCATGATTGTGCAGCAAGCTCTTTCCCGACTAAACCATCTCCCTAGCCCCTAGAGCTCCGGTTCTGATCTCCATCCAACAATGTGACTTTGAGCAGTTATTTACTTTGCTCTGGTCTTAGTTTCCTCATCTGCTATTAGAGACAGTTAGAGGGGCTGGAGAGATGGCTCAGGAGTTAAGAGCACTGGCTGCTCTTCCGGAGGACCCCGGTTTGGTTCCCAGCAGCCACGTGGCAGCTAACAACCATCCTTAGTATACTTACATAAATGCAAGCAACCATACACATAAAAATAAATAAATAAATAAATAAATAACAGTATTTAAAAAATAAATTAGAAACAAAGCTAGACATGATGCCACCTACATTCAGGAGATGGAAGCAGGAGGCTCAAGAGTTCAAGGTCATTTTTGGTTATATAGTGAGTCTGAGGTCAGTCTGGACTAATGAGATCCTGTCATTATTATTTTTTGTTTATTCATTTTAGTTTTTATGTTTATGAGTGGTTTATGTTTATGAGCATTTTGCCTGCATATGCATAGGTGCACTATGTGCGTGCAATGCAAAGAGGGCAAAAGAGGGTCTTGGACCCCCTGGAACTGAATTTAAGGATGGTTGTTAGTTACCATGTGAGTACTGGGAACTAAACCTGGGTCTTCTGCAAGAGCAGCCAGTACTCTTAACCACTGAACTATCTCTCCAGCCCCAAGATCCTGTCTTTTTGTTTGTTTTTTGTTTTATTTTTTTTCAAGACAGGGTCTCCCTGTAGCCACAGCTGACCTGGAACTCACTATGTAGAGCAGGCTGGCCTCCATTTCACAGAGCTCTTCCTGTCTCTGCCTCCTAAGTGCTGGGACTACCATCACACCCAGCTAAATCCAGTCTTTAAAAGAAAAAAAAGATGACCAGGTGTGGTGGCACACGTCCGTAGTCCCAGCACTTGGGAGGCAGAGTCAGGCAGATCTCTGTGAGTTTGAGGCCAGCCCTGACTACATAGTGAGTTCCAGGCCAGCTGGGGCTACTGGGAGACCCTGTCTCAAAAAAGAGCCCCCCCCCACAAAAAAAAAGAAATAGGAGAGAAATCAAATCCAATAATATCTGGGGTGGAGAGGCCCAAACGAAACAATGAATCATGAATTGCTGTGCCAGTGAGCTGTCCTTCCTGTGTCCTGGTTTCTGTTATCTGACAGTAAACTTGCTTTCTTAACAATCTCCTGGATAGACCAGACCTCTTTGGGATTGTCCTGTTTTTCCCTGTAGTGTGCAAATGAAGTGTAACTTGCATAGTTCACAACTTCAAGACCAAACCAGAGTCCTTCCCACAGTCCTCTGTGCAGTGGAAGTAGGATGGTGGGCTGCGTTGTCCTGACTCTCCTCAGTATGTGTTTCCCCATGGAGAGAATACTAGCACCTGAAACAGCAAGACTGTTCTCTATGCAACAGACATTGCACAAAACTCTCCCAGTCATGTTATTCTCTAAAGGGCCAACTTGTTTAGTTCCTCAGCTCTAAAAACTTGTCTCTAGCTCGTGTAGTGACACACATGCCTGTAACCCTAGCACTTAGGAGGTGGAAACAGGGAGATCAGGACTTCAAAGTCATCCAGATTACACACCAAAGTCAAGGCCAACCTGGGCGAGAAGAGACCCTATCTAAAAAAAAAAAAAAAAAAAAAAAAAAAAAAAACAACCAGAGGCTGGAGAGATGGTTCAGCGGTTAAGAACACTTGCTATTCTTCCAGAGGACCTGGGTTCAATTCCCAGCACCCACATAGCTAGCTACTATCCATAACTCCAGTTCTAGGGGATCCAGTGCCCTCTTCTGGCCTCTGCAGGCTTTGCACAACATGGGTGCACTTACATACATGCAGGCAATACACTCATACAATACACTCATACACATAAAATAAGAAAATAATAAATAAAATATTTAAAAATAAATAATAAATAAAAATAATCCAATAAGGCTTATCTCCTTGTGTCACTGCCATCCCTAAACCCCTAGAACTTGAGTGTCAGCTGTGCCAGCAGCTTGAGGCTTAGCTAGTAGCTTGCCAACTTCTGAAGTTCTCTGGCCTTCCTCCTCACTCCACTGATCCAGCTCCACTGATGAACTTGGCCTTTGGACCAATTACTGGTGAAGTTCTGGCTGCATAGACTAACTCTTTTGGCTCTGACAACCTGACTTCTGGATAGACCATTTGGTTCTTGAACTATTTCCTTATTGTACTTGGCTTTGGCTTTTGAATACCCTTTCTCTGTTTTGGATAACACAACTGCCACTACAGTGGTGGATAGAATGGAAGTGTAGCCTGCTCTCCCCAGGTTCTCACCACTGGCCCAGACCCTCCTGTATAGGAAGGAGATTGAAAAGTCATTGCTTCCAAGATGTGAGACCCTCTAAATTATTTAACTTCTCTGAACAGCCATTTTCATAGTGGGATAAGAGGGCTTACCTTTCTCACAGGATTTACATGATGATTAAATGAAATGATACATGTGTATACTTCCAGGCCATAGAAGGCACTCAAGGTAGAGGGGAGCTGGGGCTGAGCTGAGGATGTGGTTTAGTCAGTAGAGCACTTGCCTAGTGTTCACAAGCATCTCATAAACTGGGTATGGCGATGCTTGCCTGTAATCTCAACACAGGAAATTGAGGCAGGAGACTCAAGGTCATTCTTGGCTATAAAGTCAGTTTGAGACCAACCTGGGTGACACAAGACTCTGCCTCAAAATAAAGACTAAATGAGCCAGGTGTGGTGGTGCATGCCTTTAATCCCAGCACTTGAGAGGCAGCAGCAGGTGGATCTTTGTGAGTTCGAGGCCAGCCTGGTCTACATAGTGAGTTCCAGGACAGCTGGGGCTACAATGAGACCCTGTCTCAAAAAAACCAAAAAAAAAAAAAAAGGAAGTAATAAATGAAGTGGTTCTTTTTCTTCCTACACACCGGAAGCAATTTACATTCTTTCTGCATTGTCTTCAACCATCCTTCCCTGCTCCTCAGCCACTTAAACTGGCTTAAAGTCCTCTAAACATCCCATGGTTTCTTATGTCTCTGCATTTTTGTGCTGTCCCTCTGCTTGTGCTGTCCCTCCTTACTTTGTCCTTATCCACTCAACCTCACCTGCCATTCATGCCAAAGCTCAATCTCATATGGCTCCTGTTCTCACAATTCAGAGAGACTTCCATGGTGCTAACTATAGTAACCCTCATGCCCAAACCTCCTGTTCACATCCCATGGCACACTCCACCTTGTTCCCTGTGCTCTGTTTGCAGTGGCCACCATCAGCTTCCTTCCACTTCCCCCACATCACCTTTACACTTTGTTTCTTTCTTTTAAAACAATATTTTATTATTTTTATTTTATGTATATGAATGCATTGCCTGAGCCATCTTGCTAGCCCCTGTTTCTTTTTTCTTTTCTTTCTTTCTTTTTTTTTTTTTTCAGGCTGGCCTTGATCTCATGGAGATCCACCTGTCTCTGTCTCCTGAGTGCTGGGATTAAAAGCAAGAACCACCACTCCTGGCTTTTTATCCCTTCCTCCCCTTCCTCCTCCTCCTCCCCCTCCTCCTTCTAGAATATCTATCTTCACGGTCTTTCCTAGACACCTCCTCTTCTTCCTTCAGATCTCTTTTGCAGTATTGGGGATTGAACGCAGGGCCTAATCCATGCTAGGCAAACTCTATTACTCCTGAACTACATCCCCAGTCCCCAGGCCTACTTCTTTGAGACAAGGTCTCATACTATAGCTAGGCAGTACTTGAACTCCTCAGGCTCCCAAGTGCTGGGATTACAGAAATGAACCACTGTGTTAGTTACTTTTCTTAATGCTGTGAAAAAATACTTAACAAAAGCAACTTAAGGAAGGGTTTATTTTGGCTAACAATTTGGGAGTACAGTCCATCATGATGGTGAAATGATGGCAGGAATGTTAAATAGCTGGTCACATTGTGTCAGCAGTCAGCAAGTAGAGACAGATGAGTGGTGGTGCTCAGCTCACTTTCTCCTTTTTATTCATCTCAGGACCTC